CCAAAAAGTAGATTAAAATAGAGGGATTGTATACATACACAAATATATGTGTACATTTTTGTACTTTTTGAGGTACTTTGCATGACTATTTCCATTTTTTGATACTTTATGCTGCTACTTCACTACAATTCAGAGAGAAATATTGTCCTTTTTACTTCATAAGACTTTACTAACACTTTACTTTTACTTGTATGGTAATGGTATTGGAGTATTTCTACACTGTGGTATTGCTAAAAGATCTCAGTACTTCTTGAAACGGCACTTAGATCTCAGCCGAGAGAAAAACTATTGCCATCTATTTTGAGAATTGTTTAAGTAATTTTTCAAGCAAAGATTTCAAACAGTGTCTAGTGTTTAAGCTTTGCAAATATGAGGATTTGCTGCATTTGTCTGTCTTAAATGATGTAATATATTTGGGTTTTGGACATTTGGTAAAACAAAGTGATTTGAAGGCAAATTGTGATGGAATTTTTTCACAATTCTTGTAGACCAAACTATTAAAAGATAGATTAATAGACTTATATTGGTGTATATTGATTTGTTTTTGTTGTAATTACAGAAATAAACAAATAACTGAACAGTTAAATCAATATAAATAATATGGGGGAACAAATGTGAAGAAAATGAGTGCACAGTTGAGTTTGATGTCTTGTGAGAAATGTTTTTAAGACTCCTGGGCTCAGTAAATATATATATATATATAAAATATGATCATTATATTCCTGCTTTCTTACCTTTTATTGAGCTGAAGTCATACTGTCTTCCATAACATGTGTTTACGTTTCTGCGCAGGCGCTTCAGGAGAGTCTCCTCCTGGACTTGCTTCACATTGAGAGAGTCGGCTTCAAGTTTCCTCCTCTGCCGCCTGCCCAGCCAGCCCACTCCCTTCACCGCCAGATACTGACTGAGCACACCGCTCAACGCCCGGTTTCCACCTCTCATCTTGGAGCTAATGTCCCTCCAGATGAGCGCCATCCCCACCACAGAGCAGACACCGAGGGCAGTGGGCAAAGGAGGCGGCAGCGCTGCTGTTACACAAGGAAACATAAGATGAGCCGGACGGGGGCGCTGTTACACAACTTTACACCGTTACCTGTTTCATGTAACACTTTCAGGCTGCCAACCTGCACTGCTGTCCCGTCAGTAGGTTACCATTACAGCGACCCCCGCCCATCATTTCACACGTTCAGCATCCATCCTAGTTCAGCTTACTTACCCTGATTTTGTCCAAAGATGGCGACAGCAAGAGATAAAACCGCAAAACAAAGCGGAAGAGCCGCCCGAAACCAAGAGAAAGCCATCTAGCACAAACAATGTGACCTGACTTTTATACTGTTTAAACTGTTCACATTAATAATAACGTTTAACTCGCATTAATGCGACAACAGAAGAGCCTGAACTTTTGCTATCGAAGCCGTTTCGGCTACTTCCGTGTTTGGGTCGCAGCCTGTCGCTCTGATTGGCTGACTACTGGATGACGTGTGTTTGCTGATTTACACCACGCGCACACAAAAACAAAAAAACAAAAACAAA